TTGTTGTCTCAAAGACTTGTTCATATTGACCAGCAAAGCGAGACACATCAGTCGAAGTTCCTAATTATATGTACAAAATAGCCCTCGTCATTACATCATATCAATATATATAGTCAAGGGATAGATAGTTGGCTACCACTTTGGTCATTGGTCTTTTCATCAAAATCTGAGGAAGTCTTGAATCCTGTTGGTAAGTAACTCAAACTCTCTCCATTTACACTACATACCACCCATGTCAAATCCAATAACAGGCTGTTCCGTCTCTGCATGGTACGTTGTCATGGCATAACCAACCTGCAATCAGTGACAACTAATAAGATATTTCATGGTGATGGTGGTGATGACGATGGCAATGTTGATGATGATGATGATGGGGTAAGAGGAGGATCATGACAGTGATGGATCAGAGGTAATAACTGTGGTACTATTAATGGTGAGCATCATAATGGGAATGACGATGATTGTTACAATGATGATGACAATGACAGTGACGATGAGGGTGAGAATCATCATCATATTAATGATGATGAAAAGGATGGAGATCATTCTAATAAAGGCATTCAGCTGTCAGGTATAAAACAGGTACAAAATATTTAGATTTAAAACACCTACCACTCCTCCTGCTGGGCCAGAGAGAATGGCATGAGATCCAGAAAACCTAAAGAGAGAAATACACATCGACGGTCAGATCTCCAGAGTATACACAATGATGTGCACTGAAACACAGTCAAATCTGTTACGGATAACCACATATTACATTAAAAAACAACAAAGGTGAGTTCTCAAGCCGTTACTTTTCCCAGCAGCCCTACAAGCAAGTCTGTTGATTACTAGTACACAAAATAATCCTAAGTACCTACTTTGACACAGGTGTAAGTCCACCATTTGACTGCATGAAAAGAACTTTGTCCTATACAAATAACAGGCAAAATAGAAATTAGAACCATAGCTTCACAGCAACTGTCCACGGTAAACAAAGAATGTCATTGATTAGAATAAAACTTATATCAAATAAGAGGTCTAGTTTTGTGAAAATAAATTATTCGTGATTTCGGGGAAATATGCTGCACTATGGTCTCTGAATCATTTCGATTTGTTACAGTTAAAGATAATTATTAATTACCTCAATTCCACTCTTGAAACCAGACATGAATCCAGTTACATATCTCTTGATACATGGTGTTAAATAAGCATCAGCACAAGCTTGAACAGAACAAAAAAACTGTCTATTATATTAAACATCCTATCTCTAATAGGCCTCACAGCACCTCTGCAAGGCCTGGGCTGTGTCCAAAGATCCAGGGCATTACATTATCTGGGATGGGACAAAGTAAACTTGGTGTAACAAAAAGTTTCAGGAATCTCAGAATCATCTTCGGGGACCCAGAGCAGATAGTCAGGTCAGGAGGAAATTGCACAGTCAAAAGTGGTGGGAATAAAACTTTTGTCTGCATTGCTTTTGACTGTTTGACTTCCTCCTGTCAATTTTTGCTGGGGTTTTACCTTGTCTTGTCTTACCTTGTCTTACAAACCTTCAGGAAAATGAGCAACATCTTGGGGAAGAGGAGAACCAAACAGTAGTGACAGGAAATGAAACATGCATGGAGGTAGAGGTGAAGAAATGCTGAAAAGTCGGGAAGAAGACTGAGGCCAGACAGAAGGTGAGAGAGGTGTTGAATCGCAGCAGAATGAGGGCCAAGAAAGCAGAAGCCCAGATCAAATACTGTTAAGCCAACAAGGAGGTTATACAAAGCATCAGAAAAGACCGAAGGAACTTCCTGGATGAGCTCAGACAGGCAGAGGAAGCAACAGGCAAGGACGATTTGAAAGAACTTTATTTCATCAGAAGAACACAGGAAAGTGTTACAAAGATCACAGACAGACTTG